ATCCAGTATGTCCATTGCCAGGGTAGATGCTCGCCAATGAGACTGCCGAGGGGGTTGCCGAAGATGAATCCGAAGGGTGCGCCAATGGCGAAAAAGCTGAATGCTATGTCTTTGGCTTTTCCAGGTGGGAATGTGGAAGATAGGATTCCCAGCGCGGCAGATGCCATGGCTGCGGCACTGAGACCTTGTAGTCCGCGTATAGCATCGAAACCGCTTTCATTCGGGACGAAGGGTGCCATAATTGATGCTGCTGTGAAGAATGATGAGCCTAGGAGGAATGTTCGTCGTCGGCCGTAAACGTCTGCCAGGCGGCCACTGAATATCTATAGGAGGAATTAGGAAGAGCTTCGAAGAGAGCGCAGGAATGACTGACAAGAAATGGTACAAAGGTAAGATTGTACGACAAGACAATCCAGTGCTGTCGGCTAGCAGGAATGCCCAGTTCTCGTCCGATGGTGGGCAGTATGGTGACTGAATCTTGTATCGCTACTGTCTATTCGAGATCAGTTGTTGTTACTCAAGACAAAAGGTCTCCACTTACACTCATGATAGATGCTATAGTAAGTACCGCAACCAGTGCTACACACCGAGGCTTTGATAATGGCAAATCCTCTGTCGAAGTCGTAGCATTCACAGCTACAGATTCCTCTCCATATTCCACCTGTTGCGCAACACCTGCTTTCTCGATATCCCTTGCGCTCTTCATTTTTGCTCCATTTTTGTCATTGCTCTTAGCCATAATCGATACTCCATACACAGGCCAGCGTGAGAACTACCAGCGCTCATCTCGGCAACATATCCTACGGGACACCTGCGCTTTTAACACCACAACTACAGCCACACTTGGGAACCCCGCAATGCGGTAATATTGCCACTACCACATACCATTCTCCGCTCGATTTGGAGAAGCTGACGACGCGTGTAGATGACCCTGCACAGAGGCAGCGGCATCGAGAACCCGGGTGCATTAGGATGCAGATACGGAAAAAGAAATACCATAGTTTGCGATTGGTCGTTTGACCTAGGAATGAACGGCACCACGTAATGATTCCTTCCGAACTGAGTGATTCACAAGAGTATCTGCGCACTTCATGTATTCACATCTGTGGCGGAAGCAGATAAAGTGGGCGTGTGACTGCATGCGTGCGTTAGCGGTATGGATGCGCCAATAGTAGCAACCTGTTCACACGCCAGTCCATGCCAACGCTATCTCGAACCATGGTCTGTGAGATCCCAGAGGCGTGGCTGGGTTCCCCGATACCCGCGGCGTGTGCTGATCTTCGCATTAGTTTTCCTTGGTTCGAACTCGCACGTGCATTCTCAACCACTGCAGATCTGAAAGCATCAGACACACCCAGGCACCTGATTTTGTGCATGAGGCTTTAGTAAGGGTTTTCTTGGGTCATATGGGAATGGTTCCGATGGTATTGTTTGACTATTGGATTTTGTTTGGACTTGCTTTGCGTATCGTGTTCGGGGCCCTGCTGCTAATATTAATTCTAGCAAAAGTGTTTCGTGCAAGTGAATTCTATACGAATTTGAATATCTCAATGTATTTTGTACGAACGTGATGTGGAGATGTAAGGGATAGCGTCTAAAAGTAAGCACAGAAAAGTAGTACGAGGTTTTTTACACTCGTTTGATGCTGGAAAAGCTATTCAGATTTGCTTTCCCGCAGTGCCCATATGACGTGTTGAAAGAGGCAATGAAAATGGATACATACATACGCATTAGAACCTCGAAGAAGGCTGGTTTGTAACTGGTCTATCACTTGATTAGTACATCAATTTGTGATAATAGTCACTTTGTATTGTAAATGCACCGTGACGCGGAACGGTTATCCCATATGAATTCCAATATCTGCTGTCCGGATGAATAAGGTATAGAAATTCATGTTGGAGAACAAAATGGAAAAGTGTTAATCGATGTCACTGTCCAATCTGGAGACAACCACAGATACCAGGTGGGTGCCAAGGCACTATACCGATTTGGGTGAGAACCATGACATTCCTGCGATCGTCTCCTTTGGGAAGGCAAGGAGAATTGTTTTATATAGAATCATTAGGTTTGATGTGTACTTCCAATAGATCTGTATAACATCCTACAAAGCTGACCCAGGATCTGTAACGTAATGCAAGGCTCAAAGTATATAGTTAACGCGTTCGAGATACCACGTGCACAAGGTAGAAAATGAATTGATTGAATGCGATCTCATGGTCTCATTATCATCTATCTGGTCGTTGGTACAATTGGCTGTGGCCAGCAGATAAGGAATCGTTGCTTGTGTTGCAAACTATGCAGATACATAGATGTCTCAGCTCCAGAACGGACCAAAGTCTTTCATCTGATCGAGTACATGCTGTCTTGCTTCAGCTTCAGGCCCGGTGCGAGGTACACTGATTTGCACGTTAGCTTCATTTAATTTCACAATTCTAGCATACATCAAATTTGATGTAGCCCCCTCTTCATCCCGAAGACGGATTGCCTGTCGAGTGCCATAAGAATGGATAAATCAGATTTCGAAAAATGATAGGTGGAGATGTAGACTTCCATAAGGAAAGGCTGCAGAGAGCTTCAACGTACTTGACCTCACGTAGTTGATCAGTGGCCAGATCAAGGACATATCCAATGATGGATATATCTTTCTGAACATACGGTGAGGCTTTGAGCCCTCGAACGTCTGACCGAATATTGTTCTCCACTTCTCCTAGTGACCACGGGCAGCCTAGATGATCATTCATTAGACGAACTTCAATAGAACCAAAGTAAACACATACTGGTATGCTGAACAACAATAATCATGTCAATCTTGACCGACTGAGCTACTTGATAGATACTATTGATGGCTCCTTCTGTGCGTCCTCCAGCCGTTTTGATAACCTGTGTAGCACTAGTGTTGAGGTTGAAGTGGCGTGCCGGATCAACCATTGGATTGGCCTCGTTGCAGGTGACTAATGTTGTTATAAATGTATCTGAAGCTACTGTTCTGTTAAGGGACAGCGATATGACTCACTAACGACGAGAGTTCGTGGCATAGACATGACTGGTTTGTGAATAGCGGATGATCTGTGTTTCAGGCAACAATGTAGCTTGATGCTGGCGGTAGTGGGAATTCAGTGACTATATATGCTTCGAGGTTGTGATGATATCAAGAGAAGGACGCGTCTCAATGTTCAGCCCGGCGGAAGTGATTGCCGATCGTCTTTCTTACACATCCACAGAAGGTGTCCCTAATGGGATCATTCCTATTGTGGGATGCCTTACCTTTTACTGCATCTCTGCCCTGCCCTATGCCTCGATACGTTATCACTCCCTGGGTCTGGTTGCATGTTACTAACCCTTTCAGACTCCACCCATGAACAGGGATGTTTGGCCATGGCGCATGGCAAGCTGTGGATGGAACAAGGTCTGAATGATCATAAAATCCAGTAAGAGTTATCGAGAGTAAATGGCTATCTGGTGTGTTGGTAGTAAATTGCTCGATTGCGCTAGAAGCCTTAGCATAGAAGGTGGAGACTGGAGATCGGCCGATGCATTAGTGTCACAGCTGAACAGGCCAATAATAACCACTCATCTTGGCGCGATTCAGTGATAATTATGAGGTTATTGTAGAGCGGATAGTGATGGAAGTTCGTGAAGAAGGAGTAGCCTTATCAAGTGGCGTATGTTGGCAAAGTTGATTGGTCTGTTAGTTCTCGGTGTACCAAGCTCGGCTCCGAGCAGTTGGGGAGAAAGGCATAACATGCAAGCCACCGATCGTGCAGCTACGAATGTCATCACTGCTTTTGAAGTCGGCATACCAAAGGACGAATTTATAATCAAGTACGCTTTTGCCTCATGTTACCTAGTCAGGCACAGTTCAGGTACGGTAAGCAAGCCCATCTGTGCGTAGTACTCGACGTCACAGTCACATTGAGTGAAGAATCGTTCCGTTAGTCTACACTTTGGGCAAGGTATAGCGATCAGAAGTAGTCTAAAGTTTCTGCTGTGAAATTTCTTGGCTTTGTGAGATAATTTGGAATCACGAGCAGCATGTCGAACGGCGGTCAGAAAAGGTGCAGCATCCTCGCATAGTGAAATATCAGCAGCCAACTGGTCATGGTGGGGTACATGACGAGATCTTGGCAGCGCGTTCAGTGTACACTACATGTGTGCTTCATGGCCTCGTACGAAGGCTGTGCGATGGAAGGCGAGGGTCGACTTTTGCTGGACTGGGGAGCAGCCAGTAAAATGATAGATTACTGAAAATAAAGTAAGATGCAACCATCATGACTGTCCTCTGCACGCAATGTGCCGCCTGTATGCCGCCTGTATGCCGTCGTGCCGCTTCTGCATGATGCGGCCCACCACGCGAGAAGAGGAGCGGCATGGCCCGGGTAGTAGGCCGAGCTAGCATAACATAAGCTGAGATCCGATTAGTAACCTTGCGCTCAGGAATATACACCATGATGCTTAAGAATGCGAAGTCCGGCCCGGTAGTATGAGAAGGTCGTATCTTTGAGATTAGAAGACGCAAGTGGCCAAGTCACGATACGTCGTTCTTGTTGCCTACGTATGAGATCTTCGCAAAATTTAAGTCCATGGTAGCTGCATTCGCTACTTACCACTCAGGACAGTACCCGGACGGTTTTGAAAGCATCCGGACAGAAGGAGAATGCTTACTTCTTGGCCATATGCCGAAACTGGGCATTGGTTAGACTTCGAGTGGCAACTAGGCAACGAGAAGCACGTCAGATCCAAGCGATGCAACACTCGGCGTGGCAAGGTAACTTGCAGGAAGTGCGTCTCGTGCTAGCTTGAAACCGCAAGACAGACTTTCTAAGCTATACTGCACATAGAACCAAGGCTGTAAACTGCAAGTGGTCGAGATGACGTGGCTATGGGGAATGCAAGAAGGTATAGTCCAAGTGGTTCGCGACTGAGTTGATTCTTGGCGGTTGGGTTCAATCATATAAGACAGTAGCGCAAGCGCGTGCAAATTTCAAAAGTAAAGGGAAGTATGGGAACTGTGAATGAGTTGATTTATAGAGGTTGACAAAAGTTTCCGTAGTCGAACAAAATGCCAAATGTGAACTCTGGTAAATATTATGGTCCCAAATTCTCTCCATGTAGCCAAATCGCAAGGCTGGCCCTCGTGTCTTGTTCCAATGACTCTTCAAGAATGAATAACCTCCTGTCGTTCGGTAGTACTTGTGGCTCCTCCAGTACTGCTAGGATATTGCGGTGGTTGGGAGCGTTGTGAGCGTTGACTCAGACTCCTCGATAGGGTTGGAAGTGGAATCTCCACATCGATAGTTGGGGCTCTTGACTTGGGCTGATACGGTGGTGGAGCATCGCCATTTTGATCTAGGCCTTCACTCTGGCGGCTAAGAAATGAGTTGCTGGCTTCGTAAATACCATACATGAATCTCCGAGGTTGAGACCACGTTTGGATATCCCTTGCTGGTGGCTGCTCGCTGTCCTGCCCACAATACTCTCTTCTATGCTTCGAACGTCGATGCAAGTACCATAGAAAGAAAGCGACCATCACAACAAACACGCCGATGAGGAGGAAGTAGTATTTGAAGGCACTGACTTCGTGTGGCGTTTCGTCCTCGAACACTTGCCTGGCGGCTATGACCATGTCAGGAAGCAAGGGCATTATGTTGATGAATGCCACAATAGAAGCGAAACCGGGAAGTCTGCCCTGGGATGGCTCAGAAAGGGAAGGATAAACGAAACGGCGGCAGAAGGAACAGAGACGTCAAGCAGGAGCAGAAGTATGAAAACACTGCCCTCAAGAGGGTGAGGCCAGAACAGAGAAAAGAGAATGGGGCATGGCGAAAGGTAGGGTCGCGCTCGTGTCTTTATTTCTGGCAACATGTTTCAGGATCATCGCGAACAGCCATTTCCTTCTGCGATAGCTGAGTGCCGAAGAAGCAAGTAGTGAGCGGCAACGCTACTTTGGGGCCGAGGAGTAGGTGCGAAGCACAGTGAATTGCCATTGATGCGTTGATTGATTCATTGTAGAAAGAAGTTCTTTACATTGTATGAATGAGAAATACAGCTGAAGGCCGACAGGGCAAGGTTGGGGATGGCGTTGTGATCACTCGCAGCTGGCGTGCAGCGAACACCCTTAGAATGTTAGCGTGCTGATCATTGCAGATTCCGCCAAGCAATCGCGTTAGCCGCTCCTGCCTTTGATTGCTCGCACCCTGTTGTCCAGTTAGTTACTACATACACAGTCGGCCCCCCGCAGACATCCTTCACACCATCTTTGAAATGGTCAAAGCCATCAGAGGTATTGCTTCTGTCCAAGCCACACCCCCTTTCGCTTTGCTAAACGCCCTAGGAACGCTCGTCAAGTGCGATGCTTCTATCAAAGCCATGCTGGTGGACATCGACAGCAAAAACAACAATGAATACATCATCGAGGAACTTGACGAGGAGCACATCCTTGTCAAGGAGACCAAAATTAACGAACTCAAGGCCCGACTGAATCAGGTGCGCAGCACGATGCAAGACGACACACGCATTGCTGACAATTACAGATGATGAGGGAACGCTTAAAGGAACCAGAGAGTTCAGACTCTGAATAGAGCTTGTAGATTCAATACTTGGCCTGGCACTCGCAGCCGACTCCGACTCCACAATCGTCCGCCATCCCCGTTGCCGCTCGTCGCCGTTCGATCCGTATACCTGATTCCCAGCTGTCCTTGTCCATAAACAAACGCCATAACGCTTAAGCCATGGTTTACTTTTGAGCGGCGCCCTCTTGAGTGCCAACCCACTTGGGCCTGTTCTTGGTGAACAACTCCATCTTGGTGCTGAAGTTGTCAAGGATGCTATGATCGTCTAGAGTTCCCACCTGTTCACCACTTAGCAGGGCCGGCCAGCCATATATACCTGTGGATATACCTTGATTATCATCTTGCCAGTATAGCTGTCACTTTCTCGCCACATGGTGGTGCCGCAATCACCGCTGCATAACATGAGAAGCTGTATCTACAGTCTGCGCTGTTACGAACCAGAAGAAGGATGTAATATTGTTCCCGCTATCCGCTGTCTTCTTGTGTTCCTTTGGAGTTCCCTGGAGGATCTTGAATCCATCCTTGCCGTGGAGGGCGTTGGTCGAATAGGTCGTTCCGGAGATTTTGCGACAGTCATAACAATGGCAAAGGATCTGTACTTCCTTTTAGCCTCGTCTAAGCTTGTGGGAATTACCACTTACCTGGGCTTCCATGTCGCCCTGCACCTCATAGCGGACGTTGCCGCACATACATCCTCCAGTAGGCATGTTGACTGTGATGTGGGGTGATACTTGATGTGGATACTTTTGGTTTGAGTCAAAAAAAGAAGATGATAAGGCACAGGTATCTGGACTGTTTGTCATGTATCCCGAGGTTTTATACTCGCATAGGGCGTCTACCCCGCTGTCTCGATCGTCGACCGGTCAGGGGTCATAAGCCTCCCGCGTTATCCATCGCTAGTCCCAGCGCTAGACAGTTACTTTCAGACCCTCCGCTTTGCTGCAATAGGTCCCCCATGTTCCGTACAAGCATGAGTCACGGGGCATCCGACAGAAGCGCTTATTAAGCTTCACTTTTTCTAATTCTTCGCCAGGTATTATTTGCTCAGGTTACTGGGTCCTGACCAGAGCGGGGCCGAAGCGGTGCTTCCCTGCTCATGCTCAAAGCCGAGGCGTAAATCCAGGTTGTGTCTTTGGAATAGATCCACATCTCACAGTTTGGCATGCAGAGAACACATGATTTGTGCATGATTAGAAAATTTGGCGCAGATAATGTAGAATGCCTGATGCTTGAACATTGGTAGACCAATTATGTGACTGGAGAACAAATACAATGCATTTCTGCTATGACGTGGGATGGGCCTGAAAGTTGTGGAGCGCGGGGTTTCCCCAATGCGGTTACTGCTAAACTGGAGCACGTGAAGTCGAGACAATTTGGCGTTTGCATGTGCCCACTGCTTGAGCACCGACGTGCGCGTTCTGCGTAATGTCATGGACTTGTTTACTTGCACGAGCACGTCGCACAACCCTTGGTCTATCATTTGCTCGACATGGCGACGGGCTCACCCAATGTTTGGACACAAATGAATTATGTCCCTCCGCGCGGCCAATGTAATCACAAACCATCTTTACTTGCAGCAAGATGTCCTTGTTTGCGCTTCATGTTGCACCCGCTCAAGGTAAGCAACCTCTACCGACCTCATAGCTAGGTTCAAGTCAAAGCGCATTTTGCGTGTACTAACAAAAGTGCAGTCATCATCCTCATATGAATGCGACGGGTGTGGACATCATGCATCATTCCACAGTATGGAAAACAAAACAGAAGACGAGATCCGCAAGCGTTGGGAAACCGAAGCCAAGGAAAGGACTCAGCAAAACGACGAGTCACAGCAGCGACCGAAGAAGCGCGTGCGTGCCATTGAATATAACAGGGAGGACGATGAGGAGGACATAAACCGGGCCATCACTGAGCTGTTGCAGGGGGCAAAATCAAGGCCCAAGGCCAGTGCCGTTCCGAAAAAGAAGCCTGGAAGGGTTGCCGGGACCAAGGCAAAACAGAAGCTAAGTGAGATTTTGGACGACAGTACGGTCGTGGAGCTGGATTGAAGTGTTTTGGAGGGTCTTGAAAGGGCACGAGCATTGGGACGGCGTTTTGGTTACGGTCTTGACGTTGCGATTTGATACCCACACCAAGATATTTCTGCTTTTCGTAAACATCTTATTGAATTCATAGAAGCGGATGCACTTCTGTCTATCTGAATGCGTCTCACTTGTGGTGGGAGGGCATGTGGGCCATCCAACCACGGTTCACGCTGTGCCAAGACCTAACTCACACGCGCATCAACTCGCGCTGCGCCCGTCCTTCTCCTACCCCACCACAATTGCTTCCAACTTTACACAACAGCATGTTCGTTTGACATCCAATACCCTCATAGCATTTCGGCCTCACCTGGCCTAAGAGGCCTTCAGAAAGACTTGTGTAATACGTCAGCTTTACCTGGTGTATCAACCGCATCCTAGCTATACAATACCTACGGTTGCGGCCTGTGATCCGCTGCATTGTGCTTTCAATCCGACTAGCTGCCCATAACTCCAGCACACATTGCAAAAATGGCGACACCTACACCCTCGAAAGATAAGGAAACGCCTTCCAAGAACCCCAACGCCTTCTCCCCTGCACCGCGCAGCGTTCCACCTACCGGGAATATCCACATGATGTCCTACGACTCGCCCGCAGTATTGAACATGCTCAACGACGTCGCGAGCTCGGGTATGGGAGGCGTCGGCATGGGCATAAGCATGAGTGGACTAGGCATGTCTAATTTGGGCATGACGGCAAGTGCAACAGGGCGCGCAGACGAGGCAGAGAGGAGTCGGAGGCTCCGAGAGATAATAGACATTGTAGGGAAGAAGCCAGGACGCGTCAGTGAAGAGGGCCTGCTTGCGCTATGCGACCGAATAGGCATATCGTATGAAAAGCATATGGATGATGCAGGCACATGGAGTCTTTTAATTGGCGACGAGGCCCTTTGCGACGTCACCTTCAAAAACGATGAGATTGTCAGTGTGAATTTACAGACCGGGCTAGACGACTCGAGACCCGACTTGAACTTTGGAGCTGCAGGGTCGGAGATTCTGGTACGAAGTCTGAAACCTCTTCCAGGCCAAAGCAAGTTCAACGTGACGCTTGAGCGCTTCTCAGAAAACTTGGAGAAGCTTTTGGCGCTTGATAAATTGGGCTCGTCGCAAAATGGAGGCATTAGTTGCTACAACGCGATCGCAGGCATATATACGAGCCTTCGGAAGTTGTTTGACCATGAGAAGAAACTGGAGCTTGCCAAACGGGCACCGGACGAGCGGTACAGGATATATAAGGCAGAGAGGGAGGTGCTGTGCAAGAAGAGTGGGCGGCCTCGGTTCAACGGTGGATCATGTCTTGGACTGAGCCTGGAATACTGGATGGACTCGCGGTGGGTGATTCCGAAAAGTGCGCCCGAAGTACAGGAAAAAGGCAAAGAAAAGATGGACGCCAACTCGCAAGATTCCCCTTTATATCCCGAAGACGACTACTGGAGTAACAACAAGATGTACTCGCTGACTATCGAGTGCGAAGCATCGCCCTCGGCTCTCTATACCCCCATCCGCATATCGAACGAATGGATCAGCGACCAGGTCGAAAAGTCTATGGATAACAATGATGCCAGCCACCTGGAAAACATGCTCATGAATACATCTTCTATAGACTGGCTTGAGCCAAAACCGACATATCTCGAGGCGTCAGAGCAAACCGATGATGCCATGAACCTCGACTCCGCTGCAGGAAGATTACCAAATGTACGATTCGTTGCGAAGTTTAATCCCCCGCTCGTCGTACCCTATGCTGTTCATATGCAACTCTACCAAACGGTCGGTATCGAGCCTCGCAACGATGATCTACGACCAACCACGTTTGTTGGACTTGCGCTGAGGCCTGGAGAAATTGACCCCGGCATGTCTGGCGTAACTGGCGAGTCTACACATGAGATTCGCAGCTCGCACCTGGCACTCTCGAAAGACATTAATGGCAACTACGAACAACATCGTCACAACATGAGTCTCTATGTACCAAAGCTAGAGTACAGTCGTACACTCGAGAGTCTTCCATTCAGCCATCCAAAACAACTCGTAGAAATCCTGCCAGTTCTCCGACAATACGCACACGTCACCACGCTCCTCCGCAAAAGCTTCTACGAAGCACCACAAAAGCCAATCCCAACACACAGACTGGGCCAGCCCCAGATCCCCAAACCAAAGACCAACTCATCAGCAAACCACCTAACCCTCCAACTCGACGTGACGCTAAACTACACACCCCCAATCCCACGCATAACCCTCCAGGTCCCCCACCCTTCATCCACAGCCCCTTCAAACCCCCCAGAAACCACAGAAGATGCAATCTCTGATCTCCTTTCCGACCTCCTCACCCCCAAGGACCAACCCCCAGAATCCCACCACGCACCCCTAGCCATAACCATTGACATCCACGCAAACGGCGATCTCCTCGTCTCTGAGCAAAACATAATTCATTCGCCTGCCCCCACGCTAAAACGCGAGTCAGAGACGCACATGCAGCACGAGGATGAAGATGGGGCACAGGAAATTGTGGCGCATCAGGAGAAAGTCAAGAGGTTGGCGAGTGGATTGGATGTAGCAGGAGAATTGGGGGTTTGGGGTGAGTGGCTGAGGAGGGAGGTTGTAAAAGAAGAGAAGGTTTAGGAGGCTTTTTTTTTGGCGTAGCTTATGAGGTTGTCGAGTGGCTTTCTGGGAAGGCGGGTGGGTTGAGATGAGTGGTAGATGTTGTTTGATATGCGTAAAGGCTATTAACTTGGACATGATGAACAAATTGGTTACAAGAGAACTTCAGCAGTAATCAAGAGGTTTCCCCAAGTAGCTGAAATACAGTAAATCAAAATCATCTTCATTAAATCATTGCATGTCATGCAACTCAACAAAAAGGCTCCCACAAGAATCGTGATATACCCAATCTATATAGATATACCAAGGCACCATAACAACTCATCATTCGACAAAACACCAAAGTCGATAAAATTCTACAAGGCCAAGCCCAGCCAGACAAACCAGTCCATTTCCATGAACAAGCGCGGCAACAAGTCAAACCCAAAGCGGTCTAAAGCGCGAAATAAATTTGGGGGTATGGGGAAAAAAAGAGAGAACCGAACAGGAAGGATAACAACGGAAAGCTTCTTATGGCTTGTTGACCTCAATCACCATGTCCGTCTCGACAGAGTCGGCCTTCTTGGCAAACCTGGCAATGTCGGCACCCTCGACCTTGCCGTACATTGTCTCGGCGATTATGCCAGTGATCTGGTATGGGTCACCGTTGGAGGCGGGGCGGCGGTCCTCAAAGTATCCCTTGCCCTCGGCGGCGACGGCGCGGGGAATACGGACAGAGGAGCCACGGTTGGCAACGCCCCATGTGAACTTGTCGTATGAGGCAGTCTCGTGCCTGCCAGTCATGCGGAGCTGGTTGTCCTGACCGTAGACGGCCATGTGCTCAGCTTGGCGGGTAGAGAGCTTCTCCATAGCGGCCTCAATAGCCTTCATGCCGTTCTCACCACGGGTGTCGACGGTAGAGACGTTGGTGTGGAGACCAGCACCGTTCCAGTCACCAGGGATGGGCTTGGGCGCAAAGGTAACCTTGACACCAAACTCCTCAGCAACGCGGTGGAGAAGGAAGCGCGACATCCAGAGCTGGTCACCGAGGGAAATGCCGGGGCAGGGGCCAACTTGGTACTCCCATTGGGCGGGCATAACCTCGGCATTGGTGCCAGAGATGTTGATCTCGGCGTACATGCAGGCCTTGTAGTGGGCCTCGACGATGTCACGGCAAAAGACCTTGCCAGTACCAACACCACAGTAGTAAGGACCCTGGGGGGCGGGGAAGCCGTTCTTGGGCCAGCCATATGGCCAGCCAAATTCGTCAAGAAGGGTGTACTCTTGCTCGAGACCGAACCAGAAGTCGGCCTCCTTGTGCTTCTCAAAGATTATGGCAGCATCGTGGCGGAAGTTGTACGCGTTGGGAGAGCCATCGGACATGTAAGTCTCGCACATGACAAGGACGTTGTCTCCCCGACGGAAGGGATCGGGGAAGTATGCAACCGGGCGGAGGTAGACATCGGAGTTCTCTCCGGGCGCCTGACCAGTTGACGAACCGTCAAAGTTCCATTCTGGGAGGTCGTCAAGGCTCTCGACCTTCTTCTTCAGGGTCTGCGAGTGATGTCAGTATACATGCGCTTAGCCGGACGGAGCTGCAAGGGCATGGGGTGGTGAGTGGGGGAGAGTGGAGGGGTAGACGTCAGAAGTTGTGCAGGTCCTGCCGCGTGCGATCTGTGGCTGGTGGATGTCTTATCGTGGGGTCGCGATAAGGAACGCCATCTGTGCCTGCTATGACAGCGATTGGCGCAGGGTACGTCACACAAGCAGAGCACCACGATCGTGACTCTGCAGGTTGTGAACCGCCAAGTGGATCGCAGCCAGTGATTCTCCCGAGGCTCAAAACCTGCAAGGCGTACACTAGGCTGCATCGCGATCGCGGACTGCAACAAATGCCGCAAAACATGATGGGTTGAGGGAGATGCAAGAGGCCAGGAAAAAAAAAGAAATAACTGACCTTGGACTTTGAGCGGATGCCGTTGGAACCATCTATCCAGACATACTCGGCCATGACATTGCCCTTTTGGGGGAGGTCAAGGTACTTCTGGAGCTGTTGTAGAATGTTAGAAGGAGCCAAAGTGAGATCAGGCGAGAGCACGCGAGCAGGATTCAACGTACGTTGGCAGCATTGGAGATGATTGTAGAGTTCGCCATGACTGCGGTTTGTATGTGTGTGGTAGGTATAAAAAAAAGGGATCAAACTCGAAGAGGGAGGAACAAGGAGACGATGTTGTCTACGAGAAGAAGAGCGTGGAGGAGGGGTTATATGGTGGAAGTGGGGAGAGTGAATGGAGAAGAGAGATAAGGATAGCGGGCTGAGGGTTCAGTTATAAGGTAAGTGTCGTGGAATGAGTTGACTGTCTCGGCATGTGGCGGGGCTAGGTGTGGTCAGATAGTAACTAGGTTGGCCGTAGCCAAGAGCCGTCGCCGGACTGTATCCGTGGGATGGAGGAAGCAATCCGTCTCTCTAATGCGCAACCACAGGCCGCACACCCAGCATGCTGAGCCCACGCCCAGCCGTGGAGCATCCGCTTACGCCGGCGCACCGCCTGGCTGGGACACTTGTAGGGCCCTGCCAGCCACACACATAGTGTTTATTGCGCTCTGGGATGTAAACGCGACGAGCACTGCAGCGCCGTCTGGAGTGCTGGGAGATGTTTGCTGATGCGCGCGGTCGCTGTACGAGCGATTTCGGTTTGGCGCGGCGCTCGGAACGCACAGCCTCAAGCGGTTCCGAGTTTGACCGCGGCGGAGGTGGAAACCGTCGCCTCAGTGTAGCTAAATTTACCCGCTCAAAGCCAGCGTGTTGGTCATGGCAGACCACCGGGGCCCAAACAACAGCATTTGCATTGCACACACCGCTCCACATGTGCTATTGTTTTTTGCCGTCCACCATCGGATCCCTCGAGGCCATCGTCGACGCCGTGTGCCCAACACGAGCAGCGCCGTCCCTGCGTGCAGACGTCTCGCGACACCTGCATATGCTGCCTCTTGCTGCTGGGCAGGGCCCCGTTGCCTCTACCCGGCACTGACGTCGCGGGGGCGATAAGACGCCCGCCCGCCAATCGCAGATGTTACAGTTACTGTGCCTCGTCATGCCAGCATCACTAACCTCTCTGCCGCGACGTTTCTTGTAGTCAAGTTAATCGTTTCTCGCGCCCGGCTGGCCGCGTTGTGTCCTGGGTGCTGGACGTGCACTGTTCCAGAAGCCTACTGCTTAGACTACCATGTTCGTACGGTTCAATGGCTCGCTGCTTATTGGACCCGCCGCCTCTCCAGGCACAGACTGAGATATTTCCATGCTGACCCCACAGATTCTCCTGCAGCCCGCTCTTTGCGATACAGTCAGAAACTCAGCTCCACGTCGCCGTCGCCGTCGCCGTCGCCCAACCCCCCGTGAATTGCAATGCCCAAAAACCGAATGCGAATCCAAGTCCACCTTTGCCTGAAGCCTCTCCTTCACCCACCGGCACCCCACGTGCGCCATTAACCACCCCGTCCACCGCGACCATTTGTCCCGACGCAGGCAAAAAAAGCCGCATCGCCATATCGGCACCACAATCTAAGTACTTATTAGTGTGCACGACGTTGGGCCTGGCGGGGTTGCGGGCGTGCCGTCGATCTGCCAAGCCCCACGCCCCTGGCCCGAAAGATAAGGGGAAAAATGGTTTTCCGTCTTTACGTCAGGCTATCGAGTAACGCCGCCGGCCTCGTTGACTGACATGTGGCAGCGACACAACACCTATCGTGAACACACCCACATTGTGTGCAAAATCGTTTTTGCTCCTCAAAAGATTGATATAAAAGTCGCCATCCGCCTGGCTTTGGACTTGCATATCAGCGACCGGTGGTGTGGCGGTTCCATGTCTGCTTTAGGCAAAGCTGCGGACCCTTCCATGTGCTGGAAGGGGTTCCAGAAGGCTTGTGTCTTCCCCAGATTATACTCAGATAGCTGCTGATCAAGTCAAGGAGCAGCCGCTGTGGGTGTATGGTTCGCAGCAATCCTTATCAGATGGGGCGCATGGTGCTGGGCAAGCGCTGGCACGTGTAGCCTTCACCGATAGGAAACCAACACCATCCGGGGGTCAAGAAAAGACATATCCGGGCATAGTATCTAGTAGACAATGCCTGACATGAACACATCATGGTTTCGTCATGGCCTCGACACCAATCTGATTCCCCGATGAGCCCATACACTCTCCTGCCCTGTTGTGTCTACTGCGACGCCCATCATGCATACCCAGACGCAAACTTTGCACGGCCCCCTTCGCTTCCCGCTCTAGGTTATGACTTGCAGCAGCACCCTCTGCCTATGGTTGGGTGTCGAGAGCGGCTGTACCTGCAGCAGGCAATAGACCATGCTGAATGAGACGGTCGGGGCAAAACGGGAACGACCAAGGATACAACCGACGTTCGGGAGCCGGCTAGGCTTAGGGACCGGCGCCAGTGGCATGGTGCAGGGCGGATCTGGGGTAGACTCTGTTGGGGTGTTTGGTGTTGCTCGCAAGTGCGTCGACGTAGTGTCTATGTCCCATTCCTCGAAGCCCTCAGCTTAAACCAATCATAGTCACTAACTGTTCCGCAACAAGTCAACAAAATATGTCTGAATATTTATCTAACCAACATGTAAGACGACCTGAAACCTTACATTTGTTTTCTGGTGTCGGGAGACTCTAGCAGTGGTCGTCTCGGCAAGGCCGGGCCAAACCGTCGCTCGCACAAGTCCAGCGCAACGCCGGCAGAGGTGAGACTTGTGCAAGAGAAACAATGAAGCCTGACGATTGTTTAGTTTTCACAATGGTATCTGTTCGAAATCGGCTACGCGGCACAAGTTCCGCTGCCGCCGGTGCCAGCCCCAAACCCGATGGCCCGGCGGGGGGCAGACGGGATGGAAAATTATTGGTGACAATGCGATTGTGAAGGTACAAGCAAGCAGTATGGTGGGCCATGGTCCTGGTCAACAGAGTCTCATACGGGCATTGTTTGCATGTTTGTTTACTGTAAGCCAGCACATATATGCCTGGGAAACGGTCAGCGATGACTCCAAGATATCCAGCAGAGAAACTAAACCCTGACCTACTGTCGGAAACGCCTCACCAGACAGCCACACATGTGCTACGTTGAGCACGTCTATCACCGGTCGTGCCGCCACTGGGGGCGCGATCAGTTTGTTGGCGACCCGTGCTGCAGGTCTCGGTTTGCCAACGGCCATCCTATAGCCTGCACCTATGCCGAGAAGATGGGGTCGGTTAACAGCAATGAGCTTTGCCCGGACTGTAGGTACCGGCTAGCCAGTGGTGGGGCATTGCGACTGTTTGCTGGTGTTGCTGCGGTTCCACAGCCTAGGATTGACGAGAAGCTGTACGGAAAGCTGGATGGAACATGACGCCGCCACTGTAAAACTCATAGAATAATGGACGTGGCTTCTCTCAGCTTGAATCACGGTGCGCTGCATCTCCCACCAGACAACCTCGGATCTCTCTGGCTAAGCGCTTCGTGCTGGTGCTTCTTGAAGAAGTAAATGAGCATGGATCCATCATCTTGATACACACTCGGCAGTCCGAGGCGAGGAAGAGCAACAAGAGCGTGGAGAAGGTGCCAAAAACACCGAGAAGGGCAAAAATCGAGGATATATACTGGACGAGGTCCAAGTTGAATGTCACGAAGTCGTAGCAAGGTGAGGGGACAGGGCTTGGCATATGGGGTGTGGCCAATCACAGACTGCCATGAGGTAACAGCAACTCGATGCTCCTTCCTTTGGGGAACAGCGCGGTAGTTGGCCATCAATAATGAGGCCGATGGTCATGGGGTTGGTCGGATGTAGTATTAGAGACATGTATGTATATTGTTGTTCAAATGCGGGGTCTGCATGGTCTTTGCTTAGGTGTCGTGGTGTTCACCGTTTGTTCTCCCATTGAACACGCTTTCGCTATTGTTTGCACGTGACATACATACACACGTGCTGTTCAGCACGAGTGACCCAGGACAACGAGCGGGAGCCGTTGGGTCTCGTAGTAATTTTGTCTTGTTTTCTGGCTCGGCCGTTGACACCAACAGGCCAACGGGCAGTAGACAGCTTATTGTAGCGAATCCCGCCGTCTGTCTTGTATTCAGCTGGTAGGCAGAGTATGGTACAGAACGTGGCCTAGTGATGTATGGTCCACCAAAAAGAGACAATATACTACTACAAACATACTTCGGGGTCAAACAATAAGGCGCCCAACTCAGTCATGGGCAAACGGCAGAGGAACCGTCGCGATGGTGCCCAGCACCGACCACTGGCACACATGCGCCAGATGTCTAAAGGCAACTTGACTTGTTCGACGAGCCCCTGAGATTAGCGAATACGGTGTGATGACTCGGATGTGTACAGGCTCCTACCAAGTCGTTGGGTCAGACGGGCTGCGTCGTCAAGGTAACAAGGCAATGGAGGCGTACGCACGAGTTTTGCACGCGCTCACAGCCAGACATTGGCAGCGTGCGTCAGGACCGAACGTGGTGGTAGACTAGGCGGAGGAAAGCTGCAGGTACAGCGAAGGGTCGGAGAAATTTGGCGGATGGTGCGACAAGTCCACATGCACATGCGCAGCTGGATACTGGGCCCTGATGCGCTGCGGCTGTACTGCGGCGTTCCCCAATCAGCCAGACCGTCAAGATGGGCATTGCCTGACCCGACCGAGCGCGGAGAACAGCGATACAATATGGCAATAAAGTATGAATGCCATATTCGTCTCCAAGGAGGAAACAGGTCAGATCTAGTAGTCACACTAGATGCAGTAGGGAGTTCTCAGGGCACGGCCGATGCGGCTAGCCGTGGGCCATGCAGGGATGCGCGAGCGTTCTCTAACTTATATGTAAGTAAGTATACATACGGACAGCCTAACAACGGTGACATGGCGCCATTGCAACATGGACGCAGCTACAGCACACGGACTCGTGCGGTTGATCATGCAACATGACCTCGCCATTGTTGCTCGTACTGGTCTTTGTCTGTCGCTGCGGCTGAGACCACGATTCAGGCGTTGGAGCTACGAGAGAGACAAAGGTGGTCGTGGTTCGGTACCAGCGGTGCCCGCTAAGGGCCCAGCCTAGCGAACACCACGATCGCCGTCTAGGATCCCTATCACGAGCCGGCACAAGCCCCCCGGACTAGACGCTTTATCTGATACTGTCCAATCTCCCTCTCCCTTCCACTGCCTCGTCCCCCTTCTCATCCTGCCCTCCGCCTCTCTGAGCATTGACGAGGCTTGCCTGCCGCCATGAAGCGCTGACGGGTCCTCTCTGCATCGTCATACGTCTAGACCTGCACC